ACCGCTCGGCAACCATCTCCCTAGTAAAAAAAAAAGCTGATCCAACTGGGGTTCCTAAAGCTTGACGATGGATTTCCCATTGCTCAGAGCACCGTTTTCGGCGAGCTCTTACGCTCAAGCTTTCGCTCCTGCTTGATTGCCCCTCTGTTCTTCTCGTCTCCCTCTCTTGTTGAGTCATGTATAAAATATTAGTTTTTGAAAATATTTTCAGTTGGTTTTTCACCTCGTTAAGAACTATATTTGTTGGTGCTTGATCCGGTTTTAAAAACACGAAAAATGTGATTCCTATAATTCGCTTCTATAACTTATATATATGTTCAAAAGGATTTTGTCGATATTCGTTTCTCAAAACGGCGTCTTGGAAGTAGCACTAGAAGATTTTCAACATACTGGTCTATAGCACCAACTAAAATATTTCCAAAATGTGTTTATTTTACATAGCAAAACAACAAAAAATATTCAAAAATATAATATAATATTTTAGTTCGTGCGATAGCGAAGATGTCGTTGACCATGACATCGGCAAACTGTTTTTGGAATTATATTAATATTTCAACTTAAAAACATATACTTCAACATTTATAATGATGATCTGGAGCAGAGAAAAAAGGATATCAGGATCTGGATTTCTGAGCTCTTGGAAAAATTTGGATCCGCTAAGGGGAGGTCAGGTAGTTTCCTTAGGGGACCTTGCAAAAGCGGGTTCGATGGAAGATTTTCAGCCAGTTAAGAAATGCAGCTCGGGTCTGGAGGGAGCGCGCATAGAAAAAGAACAGAGGTTCGTTGATTAATCGGCAAATGTCTGATTGAGACCGGAAACTTAGGCCTGGACTGTTGTGAACGGTAATTGGATTCGGCTTAGAAGTCGTCTAAACGTTGCTTCGGACCTTGGAACGATCAAGGCTCGGCGACACGAAAAACAAAGTGACCGAAGCCGAACCAAAGCGGAGATTACCCTCGTGTCCTTGATCCTTGTAACCGATTTGACTATAAAGTACTGACAGACACAACCTGAAAAATTTATATTTTAATATATCCACTGCTTACAAATGTCGTTAAGCTATCTTTTAAATGTAAAGGCTAGAGGCAAAATTATTACCGTCATACCACTCACCATTCAAAGTGGGAAAATCTAACTAACCTTTCGAAAATTGTTTGACTTTCCTAGAAATGACCGGCCTCAAGACTCTGCCTGTATCTTGATTTTTTTGTGCTCGGTCTCATTGTGGGAGCTATCTTTACAAATATAACAGAACTTTCAAAACCCTAAGCACGTTTCATTCCATTCTTAGCGTCATAGAACCTTAGCGGCCATAGAATCCACTCAACTATTTAAGTCATGTATTCTTCAATTCAAACTAGGAATGTCGGAAATATATCTAAATATCAAAATATCGATATTTTTTTCTCTTAAAAAAAAATATTATCATCGCGATATTTTTTGGGCAAAAATAGGCGATAATGATATTTTTTTGAGATGATATTTCCGATATTTTTATATTTGGTCACTCTTAAGCCAAACATGAAAAAAGAGACGCGTGTGATTATGAGTGCGGCAAAAGAATTTTATTCTGAATTCAATCGAATTACAGCGAAATGCACATTGTGCTTAAAGATAATTAAAAGTAGTGGGAATTCTTCCAACTTACTTTCCCACCAGAAAAACAAGCACCAAGATACTTTTTTAAAATGCTCAAAATGCAAAGTGCTGGGATGTACATACATATGTACATAAATTTCTGTGTGTGTGCGTTCTTTTCCGCGAAATTTACCGGTGTATGTCGTTTTACACATGTATGTATGCAAGTTTGTGCGTGTTTTCCAGATCTTTTAAAATCAAAATGCGCAGGCATATAGACATGTCTATACACGCACAAACTTGCATACATACATGTGTAAACAGACATATAATGTAAATTTTCGCGGGAAAGAATGCACACACACAGAAATTTATGTACATCCTAGCTTATACATACATTAGTGACAACTTAATTTTAGTTATGACAGACCAGCATGTAACCGAACGAGTTTTTCTTAAATCATTAACCCTCTAAGACCCAAGAGTGCCTCAAGGCACTTATTAGATAATTTGTATTATCTAAAAAACTGGGAGCCTTTTAAATTTTTTAATTACACTAGTCAATTCACAATAAACATGTGAACTTATGAGTAGAAGGTTTCAAAGCTCTCTGAAGCTTTATAACAGGACTTTTTTCGTGTTGTTTACATGCAACATGCATTCGCGCGCAAAAATTTTTGTGTGCTTCATATAGTGTTTTTTTGTCTATCAATAAAAGTGAAATATCTTCAAAATCAGCCAAATAAAAATTATTGTTCTAGAAGGTAACATATTAAATAATCCAAATCAAGTTGCATATTTGCAATTTTATAGAAATAGTGCGTTGTAGCAGTGATTTATCTTATTTACCCCTGTTCGATTTACAGGTAAACTACAATTAGTACACACTTTTTGAGGTCATTTTTGAAATTAAAAGCTACCATTTACCCCAAAAAATATAATTACACTTCGTTTTTTTTAATATTTCTTCGCTTGGGGCTTAGAGGGTTAAAAACTGATTTTTGTTAAATAAAACCACTTATTGGTCTATACCATATCCTTCAAAATGTTATTATTTTCTATACCAAGGATCGTAAATAAGAGTTGCTTGAGAGCGGGTATAATATTTGCATTTTAAGTTCGACGACTTTTATTCACAATTTAAATTCAAAACAGTCTATTATGTCTCAAATGGCCCTTATTTGATGTTAATGATTGATGAAATCAAATATAACGATTTTTAGGCTCAAAATCTACCCAAATTTTCAGAAACAGGAAATCTTTATCCAAGTTTTGCTAAAAATTAAAAAATATAAAAAAAATCAATATATCGATATTTTTTTATGATATTTTCAAATATCATCGAGTGATATTTTTTTAACAGCAAATATCATCAATACGATATTTTTTAAAAAAACAACAACCCTAATTCAAACCGACAACTTCCAATTTGTCCCCAAATTGCCTCTTAACTTTCGAGTTTATGTAAAGGGCGCAACAAATTATTTTGTCAGTCCACTATGGGGAATTTTGCCATTTCTATGGTATTAAATAATAACTTTTAAACTAAGTAGTATATTTCGAAACGGTTTCTTTTATTAAAGTTATGGGCTCTCAAAAGGAAATTATTTTGGAAAAATGGGCGTGGTTCCGCTTTAGCTTGACGATTTTTATACCCTTGCAGGGTATTATAATTTCAGTCAGAAGTTTGCAACGCAGTGAAGGAGACGTTTCCGACCCTATAAAGTATATATATTCTTGATCAGCATCAACAGCCGAGTCGATCTAGCCATGTCCGTCTGTCCGTCCGTCTGTCCGTCTGTCCGTCCGTCTGTCCGTTTCTACGCAAACTAGTCCCTCAGTTTTAAAGCTATCTGATTGCATATAGTCTTCTATATACTCTCACTGCTATATATGTCAGAACCGGCCGGATCGGACGACTATATCATATAGCTGCCATACAAATGTTCGATATATTTGTAGAAAAAAAATTATAACTTGGCTGTTTTTCAATATTATTCCATCATTTTTGAGATATAGCCTTTTTATATTATTCCAGAATTTTGGTAAAAATTTTATGAAAATCGGACCACTATATCTTATAGCTGCCATAGGAACGATCGGGAAATTAATCAAAAAAATTATAACTTCGTTGTTTTTCAACGTATTTTAATCTACTTTGACACATGAGCTTCTGGTATTATTTCAAAATTTTGGTAAAAAATTTATGAAAATCGGACGACTATATCTTATAGCTGCCATAGGAACGATAGGGAAAGTAATAGAAAAAATTATATCTTCGTTGTTTTTCAACGTATTTTCATCTACTCTGAGATATGAGCTTTACTTATTATTATAGAATTTTGGTATACATTTTATGAAAGTCGGACAACTATATCATATAGCAGCCATAGAAGCGATCCGCAGATGTAGAGAAAATGTAAAGCTGGGAATGTATAACTGTAACTGTCAAACTGTAAACATAATAAGTATAGGTAAAATGGTATGTAACTCAGTTTAGTGTCTGTTTTCGGCATTATAATTTATGACATAAATATGAAAACCAATCTGCAAGGGTATACAAACTTCGGCGTTTTTTTTCTTTTTTAAGTATATAAGGTGATTTTTTCTTTTATAGCAAACAATATATTTTATAAACACAATAAAAAAATACATTGTCTTCATTTTCAAGCTCTTCGTCAGATATGAAATAAAAAACGTAATTTTCATACTCAATTTATTCATAAAAGAGGTCCAGGCCTTCAAATTCGCTAATAACTTCCATTTGGCACTTACATTAATGCAAAAAAAAAATTGCTTTTGCCTTTTAAAAAGGTAAAATGATTTGACACATTAATATTTGTATGTAATGAACTTGAAAAATGTTTTTTCTTGGTAAAATTTGCTCGAAATGATCTGCAAAAAAAATTAAATTACGCAGATTGTGCGGATTTGTGCACATTGAGACAAATTGCCTTTTAATAAGAATGAATGCCTCTACAACATATATCGGACGTACAGCAATACAAAGACATGTATTTTTTATAGGTCTCTTTAAAGTTAAATATTTTCTCAAAAAAATTTAAATTTAAATATTTAAAGTTTGATAAAATGACTAAATACCATAAAAATGGCCAATTTCCACATAGTGCAGTCCCTCCAGTTACATCGGTAAGTACCCTTTAATTTAAGAGTTGAAGAGATCAAGAGCCATAACTTTGCGAAAAGTTTCGAAATTGATATTTTGATCAAATTTATCAGTGTTGATACACCGTATTTAAGCAGATGACGTAGTTGATAAATTCAGTTTTGAGACCAGTATAATCGATACATAGGCGGAAATATCACGATTTAATTGATTTTGCTTATGTATTGAACACGTATAAATTATTATAATCCATGCCAAACTTTCCTCTTATAAAATTTAATTAAAAATCCTTACCTTACAGCTGGCACTTCAAGAATATCCCATTCAACTGACATATAAAACTCGGACAAGTCGACACCAACATCAACAACGTTGCTACCAACTTGTTCATCCATGTGACGCAGATCGACCTAAGAAAGGGAGAGAAATTCATGTGTTATAATTATATATTATTAATTTTTTTTATATTAACATTCATTAAAACAGTGGGTAAATTATTCACATAAAATAAACTACGGATTTTAAATGTACTGATAACTAAACGGATTATAATTTTTCTTTTGTTATACATCGATTTTACATGCACTTTTTTTAAATTAAAAATTTTAAATATGATATTAAAAATAAAAATACCAATTATAAAATTTTATCTATACCATTTTGTATATAGTACTTAAAAATTAAAATGAGAAAAAATGCTATATTCAAAAAGAAACGGTTTTTATATAAAGGAGTTGTATAGGAAAAGTCAATTTAAAAGACTAATAAAACCAAAAACGTATTAAATTAACAACTAAAGATGACATGTTTTCCTTTGTAGTCCGACAATTTCGTACCCCTAAAGCTTATGATTTTACACAACAATTTGGGATCAAACAAATAATACATTTAGGCCACGTGCACACTGGCGGCCGAAAGTGGAGCTAACGGCTAATCTGATGAGCGAGCTTATCCACGGACAGCTTATCAGCGAGCTTACATTTTTGCAGCCGCGCACACAGAGAGCTGAAGCTGATGATGAAATTGATCGTTTTTCAACCAATATGACCTACGAATTTTTTTAATTTTTCAATGTTCAATGTTCAAAATATCCTATTAAAATATCATCCAGATCATAATGACATTTAAATTTTCGTAATCGGCCCACCCAGTTTGCCAGAATATTGTTGACAAAGTATGTTTTTTAGTGTACTTCGGCACCCTGTATCTCGGAAAGTTGATCACATTTTTTAGTTTAAGAAATATTAAAAAATACTTAATACTTTACTTGATAACTGGTAAAAAATTGAAATTTCTATGACTTAAGCGCTCAACAGGGAAAATTAAAAAAAAAAAAACAGTCCAATAATCAGCTCTCGTCAGCTGCTAACAAAATCAAACATGCTTGGTTGATCAAACGAGCGGAGCGGAGCTGAAAGCTGATAAGCTCGGGCAGATACAAATCATCAGTCCCGAAACAAGTTGTGAATAGTTTTAGTTGTAGTGAAGAACCGTTAGTATCGATTGACAGAACACTACAAAAGTTTTGGTCACTAGAGAAAATGCCATACCCAAAGAAAATTCTATGTGAAGACCATTACAGGAAGACTACTCAGGTATTGTCATCAGGTCGGTTTGAAGTTGGGCTGCCGTTCAAGTCTGATCCAAATGGGTTGGGCAACTCCTTTAAAGTTGCAAATCGTCGGTTTTTGTCGCTTGAGCAAATCATCCCTCATCAATGTGTTTTAAGGCCCCGGAGTACGTCTACAAAACTACGCGTCATTTTCGTTTTTCATCTCAGGTGGCCTTAAATGACACCCTGATGGTTGGACCGACAATTTAAGAAGAGTTGTACTCCACTCTACTCCGCTCCCGGCTGCATAGGTATGCCCTGACTGCCGATGTAAAGAAGATTTATCGCCCAGTAATGGTTCATGGTTAGAAAATGTTGAGTTAATCTGCGATTTTTACGTCGATGACATGCTAACTGGTGCTGCATGCGAAGAGGAGCTGAAGACATTCAAGTCTTAAGTGTCTCAGGTTCTTCAAACAGCAGATTTTGAATTGACAAAGTGGTGTTCGAACTCACCTAAGGTCACTGCATCTGAGAGCACAGTTAAGTCTATACCTATCTCGGATTCAGAGTCAACTAAGGTGTGAGGAATATCGTAGTTGCCCAATAAAGATGCCTTTCAGTTAAAAATTGACACTCCTATCATGGGTGTCCGAGCAATAAGACGGAACATACTATCAGTGACTCCCTTCGGCTTATTAAGTCCCATTGTAAATAAAGCAAAGATCCTATAGCAGGAACTTTGGCTTAATAAGATAGATTGGGATGAATTTGGAAACAGCATGGAATGTGCTAAAAAGCACCCTGTCTAAAATTGATGAGATATCTATTCCTCGGTTTGTGCATATTGACCCGATGTCACCGGTACAATTACATGCCTTTGCCGACGCATCCATGATAGCTTATGAAACTTGCGTCTAGATTCGTAGCAAAAATGCCAAGGCTATAAAATATCGTTTTGACTTCAAAGTCCAAGGTAGCGCCGATCAAGACCAAAACGCTCCCTAGGCTTGAGTTATGTGGCGCTCACCTCGCAGATCTCTGCCATAGAGTCAAACCCTTATTAAAAGTCCCTATCGAACAAATAGTATACTGGTCGGATTCTGAAGTTACTCTTCGGATTCGATCTCATCCATCTTCGTTGTCGACATTCGTTGCAAATAGGGTAGTGGAGACTCAAGAACGGGCAGTCAATCTGGTTCACTGGACCACCGTTTCTGAAGGACCAAGGGGAAAACTGGCCCAAAAATGCGCATTTCGAGCTGGATGAGGAAATCTGGCTTCAGAAAGTAAGGCAGACTGCGGTCAGACTGACCGCTGCGGTGCAAACGTCTGATTTGCTAGTTGTCATCGAGGGATTCTCGTCACACAAGCTGCTTAGAGTGTTCGCTTATATGTTCGGCTTTATAGGAAAATGCAAAGACAAGAGTATAGTTTTCGAAAATACTCTGTCACCGACTGAATATAATGAAGCTTTCCATAAGAAACTTTTGCACCATTCTAACTTTCATGTTGGCCCTGGAGCACTTGTGAGAATCCCACGACAGCGTATTTGGACTGTAAACGCTCAGGAACTCTGCAGTCAGACAGCTCGATCACGCATGCGCTACATCAAATGCAAGCCCCGACTGATGACGCAAATTATGGGAAATTTACCCGCAGATAGGCTCTTAGCTCTCCGCCCATTTGCTATATGTGGCGTCGATTTTTGTGGCTCTATACGATATTAAAGATTTGAGGAAGGCCACCTTATAAGTCCTACTTCGCCTTATTTGTTTGTTTTGCGTCCAAGGCGGTTTACTTAGAAATTGTGTCAGATCTGAGTACTGATCTCTTTTTATTGGCTCTTCAAAGGTTCATTGGTCGCCGAGGATGTCCACAGACAACGCGACGAGCTTCGTCGGAGCGAGTCGCCATTGGCTCTTCGCGAACGGATCGAGAAGCAAGCGGACGTGATTCGCGAATTCGCATCAAGAAGCGGATGCGAATTTGCGTTCACACCCCCTCGGGCTTAGCATATAGGCGGACTATGGAAGGCAGGTGTCAAAACTGCCAAGCACTTTCTCCTAAAAGCGCTGAGCAGCGCACTCCTCAACGCCGAAGAGCTGAACAATTCTCGTCAGGATCGAGGCCGTGATGAACTTGCGACCTCTCGGAGCTCTCAGCCAGGACCCAAGCGACGGAGAGTCCCTCACTCCCAGACACCTGTTGACAGGCGGGCCCCTAGTCGCAGCGCCAGCACTCCCGGACCACGCGGATCTCAGTTGTTTGCGGCGATTGCAGCTTGTCTCGTCAACTAGGTACAAGATCTGCACCAGAAAAGAAAAGGGTTGATTGTTTTGAGATTGTGAAGATTATCAACAAATTTTTAATGCTCTCGTGGAGTGCCGACGCGTTTTTGCATCGCTGCGAACTTCATTGTGAAGCCTCAATTTACAAGTCCACCTCCGTGGCAAAAGCTATTATTTTTGGAAATCCGACTTCTAAGGTCGTGGTGTCAATGCCCCTAAGTTCCTCTAGTTGTTCCAATCGCGAAAATAAATGAAAAGACAAGACTAACTGAAAGCGCCCAAATAAGAACACGTCTTCATTTGCTGAGTTAATATTTCAAACTGATTTTATTTCGTTCAAATCCTAGCTTAAATAGCTAACATGAGAATGTACATTGTATATCTTAGTTTTAAACACACGCATCGGACAGTTCCCGCTCGTGGGAAATATTCTAAGTGCGATATTCTAAGTCCGATAGCACATATCTTAAACAAACCCAGACCGCTCGCAGGAGGTCATATTTCGGGTTGCTTGTATTACACAGGCTCAAGTGGCGGTTTCTTATAGCTATGCACACAAGTGCAAGACAGTCTACTGCTGCAGGGACCTAATTGCTAACAAATGCATTTTATCTATATACATCTATACGTGTTCCTGTGCGAACACTAACAGTTGCAATTCCAAAATTACTAGGAAAAAGCCCAAAACCAAATGCATGTGCCAACCGGTTCCCGGAACTGTCAGATATGAACATGGCCAAAACAAAGCTAACCAAGCCAGTACCAGCACCAGCAACATCACCGACGCCAGCAGCCAAGTCAACAGCATTCTAACCAACAACATAAGCAACAGCGTCAACACCAGTAACAGCAACAATAGCAACACCACTAGCCGCAATGTTAGCCCAAACCAGCCCTCAAGCAAAAACAGAACCTCACCGTCTTACAAACCACCACCAATTGTGGTCAAAAATTGTGAAAACCTGATTTCGTTCTTGGATTCAGACTCAGTTGCGTACATACCCATTACTAAATCGCTTACCTTAAAAAAAGGTGAAATTTCATACCTGGCAAATTAATGAGGAAAGATCCTACCGTATTGTTATCTGAGGTGTGCATCACTCCATCCCGGATGAGGATATTTAAGAAAGCCTTACAACGGATACAAGTCGAACTTCCTTTTTAAAAAGGACGATGTCGTACAATGCTATCGGTGCCAATCTTAAAATCACACATAAAATAACAGGCATTGCGCCCCGCTATCTTACGGGTACGTGGCTGGTGGATCTCGCCAAACACAATAGGCAAGCTCACAGCAATAGACAAGCCAACAGCAGCTGCAACAATTTCCTCCACTAAAAAGTAGGAACCGGAAGCAGAACGGGCAAAGCCAACGAAGGAAACACAACCGACAGCCCCAGCAACCGATGTAGGACACAAACCCAAGGCCACAGCAACATTCAGAAACCAGCAACAGCAACAATCTCAACAGCAAAATTCATTCCAGCAACTGCGAAATATCCAGATTAGTCAGCAATGGCAGCAGCAAGAAGAAATGCTCATGCGATCTGATGAAAAAATGTCAGTT